CCAGCCACAGTAGCTCTGAGTTATCTCTGGTATAGATTCGGATATCTAGTCTGAGTTCACCAGAAAAAGAGTTCAACTGCTTTAAACAACCAAAAATAAATCTTGAAAGTCTCCAGACTAGGTAACCTCTGAGTCTGAAAAAGAATTCTATTCTAAAACCTATGTAATTATCTCACTAATTTGGTCGACTTGGGCTTAGTTTAAATTAATGCAAAATTGCGAAGGGGAGTAGTTTGGAGAAGTGCCATTTTATTTCCTCGTAGGAATTACTGATCTTAGTTTTATATTGTTTTAACAACCCCCCAAACACCTTTGTAATTAAAGAATGCACCGACATCCTTGAAAAGAACCTAGCTGTCGTGCTTCTTCTCTAATCTGCTTGGCCAGACTTTTCTTCCCAGATAATGGAGAGATCAACCAGATAAATTTAAACCCGCCATAAGAGAAATTGGCACACATTCTGAAAAAATGAAATTGGAGTCCGTTTTGTTGAATTTGCTGGGAAAGCTAATGTGATTACAGCTGATGGTTCTGGTTCCAACCAGAGCATTCAGAAGCTCATCTGATCCCTGTATCTCCCCCAGTTTATTCCCCTTGGAGGAAAAGTCAATCAGAAAAGACCTTGTCGTGCTAGCCAGTTTGGCTCAGTGGATAGAGTGTCAGCCCTCGGACTGAAGGGTCCCAGGTTCCATTCTGGTCAAGAGCACATACTTCAGTTGCAGGCTTAACCCCTGGCCCTGGTCGGGGCATGTGTGGGAGGCGACCAATCAATGTGTCTCTCTCACATTGGTGTTTCTCTCTTTCTGTCTCTCCCTCTCCCTTCCACTCTCTCTAAAACAGCAATGGAAAAATAACTTTGGGTGAGGATTAACAGAAAATAAAAGAGAGAAAAGACCTTGTCATGATCCTGAGACCACACTTGCCAGCGGCAGAAGCACATTGCTTTTGCCAGGGAGGAGTCAGAGGTGCCCGTGGAGAGGTGACCCCTCCAAGGCAGCCACACCAGCCCTGGCACCTGTGCATGGCTTTGTCTGGCTCAGTTCCTGGCACATGCTCAAGGGCAGCCACATGGCAGAGCTTTTCCCCAGATTCAAGTGTAAGTTTTTTGGGTGGGGAGACAGAAGAGAAACCAAATGCAAAGAGAACATCAGAAATGAATCATGGGCTTTGAAGATTCGAAGGGCTACAGTCCAGAGGACTTAAGGATTTTCCAAAAATAGTGCTGGTTGCATGCTGACTATAATCTAACCTTGTGCGGCGGCGGCAGAAGCACGTCAGTGTTTGATGAGCAAATATGCACAGGAATGAACACTGAGCTTCAGAGAACCTTTGGGCAGCCTTTTTTTCTGTCTCATCAGCCTAGTGGACTGTTCCCTGTTTCAGCAAGTTTTCTTCAGTCATCTTAAACCTATTGATGTTTACTTGTCCATAGAAGAAAGAACACGTTCTCCTTGTCGTACGGCAGGTCTTTGAATAACACTGTTCCATTCAACATCCTTTTGCTATGATCTTGATAAAAGAAAAATAATTCTCAGAGCCACTATCTGTG